CATGAGAAGCAGGCTACGTACCTGTCCAGGGATACAAAAGAGATGGAGGAGGACATCTCATTGTGCTGGCCATGCCTGGTCCACTGCCTCACCACAGGTGAGCCTCTAGCAAACTTAACTCCAAAACCCTTTCTGAAAGTAAAAGTGAGAAACTCAAGTTATATAATAATTACCAAATGAGGTGAGTTATCTGCTCCCCTTCGCAAAATTCTGAAGGATCAATAGACTCCAAAGATTATTCAATGCAAAACTTCACCTCTGAAAATAAAGAGGGGGAAAGGGGAGAAAAGAATGGAGGGGAACGGAAGGGAGGGGTCCAAATCAAGTGTGTGGTAGGTTAATAAAGCTAAAATCTGCACTTTACAGTGCAGTACTGGTGCTCCATTACAGCCTGTCACTGGGGCATCCCCGAATGGATGGAGGGGAACGAAGGGAAAAGGAGAAACATGCTGCCCTGTTTCATTTCACAAATGCTCTAACCCAGAAACAATTTAGAGGAGAAAAGGGCACGTTACAGGCTATAGTCCATCAGTACGACCAGGAACCTAGAGGAGCTTGAGAAGCACAACCCATGGGCACTGATGCTGGGTGCTCACTTACAAGCTCAGCTTAACTGGCTTTTACACCCCAGGACTGCATGTGTCCAGTGAATGGTGATGCCCACAGTGGGCTGGCCCTCCTCCATCCATTAACAATCAACACAGTCACTCACAAGCTCAGCTTAACTGACTTTTACACCCCAGGCCCGTATGTGCCCAATGAATGGTGATGCCCACAGTGGGCTGGCCCTCCTCCATCCATTAACAAGCAGGACCGTATGTGCCCAGTGAATGGTGATGCCCACAGTGGGCTGGCTCTTCTCCATCATTAACAATCAACACAATCACTCACAGCCATGCCCTGAGGCCAATCTGATCTGGGCAGTTCCCAACTAAGATTCCCTTCTCAGGTGGTTTTGGGCTGTGCCAAGCAGACAATTAAATCTATCTAAAACAGATATATCCAGAGGCCACTTTCAATAATATAACAGAAACCTACTGAAGGTAGAATCCATAGATTTTTCATAACTTCCTACCTGTGAGCTAGATCTGTCAAGGCAACCTACAACTTTGTTGATCTTCCAAGCAGTTTCCAAGGATAGCATTGACTATCCTTTAGTTAACCTTTGGTTTAACTATCTTTAGTTAGGCAGAGAAGTCCCTCTATACTAAAGTTTCCCACATTTTAACACCTTATAGTCAATAAATTATATTTTAATTGGCTATCTTTTTAGAGATACATAAAACAATGCATCTTATTAATTAACAGCTTTTTAGATATGATGACATAAATATAGTCTTTCAAAGTTCCTAAAACAAGTCTGAATTGGGTAAGTCCTCAACTGATGCTCGCTAGCAGACTGGAGGAGATCTGAAACAACAGGAAGTCACAGTCCACAGATCCCATTTTTAGGAAGTAGCCCCGCTGAGTGCTCTTAGTGAATATTTCATTTTTCTTGGAAATCCCTAGAAGCTACTTCTTTGAGCAATGTACAACATACACACATCAGTTGCTGATACACCCCCACACCCTGCTTGCTATTTAAGGTACAATATAGAGTACATATTACCCATTTCTCATTCACCAATGCCTAATCACCTTCAGGACCAACCTGGTTCCCAAGACACATTTGGATTAACATCTAAGCACATTTTTAAAGTCAGAATTCCATTTCTGGAAATATGCTTTAACTCAAGAAAATGTGCTCTCCCGATAGTTCTCCCAAAAAATGTCCAGCTCAGAGCACCAAGGCTAAATTCACTTGCTGAGCAAACCTCATGAAATGAACTGTTATCTCTTTTCTGAGTGTGTGTGCAAAACCTGTAGTTAATGTGTATTATGGCATCCTCACAATCAAGCTGTTCACTCTCCCTAAACAATTAAGTAATGATTAGGCAGGTAGGTACTTCCTGGCACCAGCTATTGAGAAAAGAAAAAGGTACCAAAGGCTTTTCCCTAACCTGATACCAAACAGATATGCCTGTCTTTGACTAAAGCATTTACTACAGCTTATTTACCAGTTTATTCTTCAGATACATCTTAATGGCATATTCTGTACAAAGGAATGTATTAAATGCTTTAAAACTTACTGCATCCTATATTTATAAGAAAAGCAAGAGTATTTTATTACAGACATGGTTTTTAATACTTTTCTTAAAACAGTGCGACTCCTTTCTAATGGCTTTCTTCTATCTGCCTTTAAAAAAGACCCCCTTGCTGAACATTGGTGCAATCCTTTAATCCTGGCACTCGGTACAGGACAGCCTGAACTATACAGACACACCCTTTCTCAAAAAAAAAAAAAAACAAACTCAAAAAAGATCCCTTCCTCTCGTTTCATAGAAAAGACAACCAAGTCTCTGACTAGATTCCCAAGATTCTCCTGACAACCATTTTGGAGTTCTTTTTACCATTTCAAATATTTATCAATTTAATTTTAGCATGATTGAAAAGCACAACTCCATTTCTTCCTGAAAATGACTTGGCATTCTAAATGGCCCAGTCCACTACACAATCGGTGAAATGAACACCTATCTTCAAGCAGCTCTATGTCAAACCCACTGTTTAGTTTGGAAGCATTTTTCAAGTGCACAAAGAAAAGGTCAGAGAAGAGAATGACAATGGATTAGCAATAAATACATCTCATGCGAACATTTTTCCTGAGAGCTTAGAAAAGTGCAAGACATTTGTAAAAATAATTTTAAATTGTATTTGTTAGTGTGAAATAAGTCAGACTAGATATAAATTAACTAAACTTGACATGCATTCTGTTGTATTTCTTACAGTACATAATATTTATAAATGTTAATTCTTGTTGTAGCCGTGGCTATCCTGGAACTCACTCTGTAGACCACGCTGATCTTGAACTTGGAGATCCAGCTGCTTCTGCCTCATGAATGTTGGGATTAAAGGCGTGCTCCACAACAGGGCTAATAACTGCCTTCTCAACGCATAGTCAAATTCACAGGCTGAGAGGGAGCAGGTTCCCACACCATGAGAGGTACTTTATTTAAATGGATCTATCAGAAGGCTCACCCAGCTTAAAAAGAAATCAAACACTCTGACAACATTCTTCCTGCCCACCCATGCAGACCACTATGTGAAGAGTAAATTGAGGAATAGAAAAAAATTTAACTTAAACTTCAACCTTCCAGCTTAAAGTCCAGTCTTTCTCATCTTTTTGCAAACAATGTCACCATTCTGTCACAAACCTGATTTGTTCAGCATCTTGAGAACTCATTCAAGAACTATTATAACAACACCATCTTTCTGAAATGGTAGACATAGGGACATAGGAAGGACAAAGGACAGGGTCCTGGAGTTGAGGTCAAGGGACCTAAGTAGTTGACATTGGCAGGTTATTTGTGCCTCCACAGGATACCTGGGTGCTTCAGAAGCATGCACTCGACTGCTGCATCTATACATTAAGAAGCCTCAGGAATAAAATGAAAATCCTCAAGATGTAAATACTTGCCAGGCGTGGGGGCACACACTTCTAATCCCAGCACTTGGGAGGTGGAGGCAGGCGGCTCTCAGTGAGTCAGGACAGCTAGGGCTACATAGAGAGATCCTGTCTCAGAAGAAAAGCAAATTCTTAGCATCATCCTTCCGCAGTGATCTAACTGGAGTGACGGTACAGTGCTAGAAGCAGCCCATAAGGAAGCAAGTTAACTAAGGTACTTATTTGGGTGAATAAAGATTTCAGAGCCTTTCCCCCATGTGTTAACACTGTTCTCTCTCACTATGAGAGAGGAACATCCTTTGGTTTAGAGGCACTCCTTGAGAGAAACAGAAAACCAACCTTGAGGATAGAACAGTCATCGTGCAGGCTCGTACACTTACTAGAAACGTAGCAAACTACAACAGGGCTTCATAACAAGATGTGGCCGTCTAGAAAACCTCTTGGCTTGGTGGGAGAGGTGCACAAAAACGCCAAGGAAAGCCTCGAGACCGTCCCGATGGCAAGAAACACCTCCTTAGCACTGGGTTTCGATGGATCCATTCTACTCCATGTTACAGGGCCATAGAAAAAGCTGATTCTCATTCTGAAATCTATAAAACGCAAGTCTTCACCTGTCTTCGCACGTGCGCTGCCGCAGGCTTCCAGCTGTTGGAAGTCATCATAGAGCCTAACCACGGGGCAAACCAATGAACGGATGGAAGGCTTAGTAATACCTGTTACCTCCTTAGAAAGCACCTCTACTTGTGTCCTAACTTGAGGTACCCTAGGTTTCCACGATGGAGAGGTTTCCTTTTGTCGTTCTTACTGTTTCCCGCGTTAAAAAGTTAAAACAAGAAACAGCAGTCACATGCCAGATGGGACCAATGAAAATATTCTGGAAAGAGCAGCGGGATGGGATTCCGAAGGGAGAACCACCCACGTGCCCCGAGCATCACCTGTACGCGGAGCGCCCCGCGGCCGCCCCCGCGCTGTCCCGGGCAGAGCCATCACCATGCAGGGACCCGCGCAGCGCCTGAGGTCCGAAACGTCCCGACCGCGGCATCCGGCCGCGTCCGGTCGCCATGGAGACACAGTGCCGAAGTGAGGCACCGCCCCTCGCGCATGCGCACGAGGGTGGACCTGGCGTGGACAGCTCCGCCTTTGCTTCCGGCGTCCGGGCGCTTCCGGGTCGGCGCTTTGCCGACCCCGTCATGCCGATGAGGGTTCGCCGGTCACAGCGCGGGGCCATTGGCCTGTGGCCCTGTTCACCTACGTTTGTCAGCTGATTTCTAGAGGAAACGGACATGCTGAAATTGTCCCTGTCTCATAATTATGGCAAACCCATGACACGACAGTCCTCTGTAGAGAGGCCATGAGAAGACTCAATTCACAACCCGTCGGAATCTGCAAGTTCCAGATGAAAACAAGCAGCCATTAACATCCCTGTCTCTGCCTGCCTTAAAGACACTGAGCGCAAGCACAGGCATCCGCGCAGAGGCGTCTGGGAGTACCTTCTGGACTGCGGCTTTCTCCGTGCATTGTGGGAGATGTAGTCCCTCCTGCCTTCCCTTCTCTGGTTACACAGGAAAAAGTGAAGTCCTTAAACTGCGATTCCCAGGGCTCATGGGGCTTCCCAGGCTGCTTTGCGAAAGCACGGCGGGCAAGATGTGAATGTCAATAGTAAGGTAAATAGGGCGTTTTAATTCCAGAGAGGAAAAAGAAAAGGACAGAAAGGCGTGCGTAACCTCTCTGGGATTTTTCATCTTGATATCCGCCTAACACACTGCGGAATGTGAATGACTGGATTTCATGTCTCGTTCAGTTGAGTGTGTGGATTACTAAGCTTTAGAAGTTGCAGTCCCGAAGCCCTGCGGTTTTTGTGAACATGCTTTGTGCTTTTCTACGAGTTGTGCCGCATATGGAGAAGCTGCCCGGGTGTTTGGGCTGGCAGTTGCTGCCACACTTTGTGCACACGAAAGCTTGCTTGAAGACTCAGCCTTTGAGGTGGGGGCTGTTCGAGCAGAAGAAAACAGTGCATCCTAGAACCGAGCTTGGGTTCACCCGGAAAACCTTCTGTACCCAAGGACCAGACCCCCAGAAAGTGAAAGAGGACAGCAGCAAGCAAGTGTCTGTTCACGAAAATCAGAGAGGGGAAACCGGCCTCTCAATGTCTCAGAAAGGTAAATAGATAGAGTGTATACGTACGTACATACATACATACATACAGATTGATACTACTTCAGTGAAGATCTGCCTCTCCAGCTAATCTGCCAAATACCATTTCATGCCTAGTTCACGTCTAAAGATGGGATAGGGGAATTATCCAGATTAAAATAATTAAAAAGAACTGTTAAACATATAGTTTACAACCAACCAGTGTTGACCCGCAGTTTTCACAACTTTATGTTTTGAAAATTGATCTTGTATTTGGTATAGTTATTACATTGTGAATAATAAGTGTGTGCATAAATAGGAAGAGATTATTGTCAATCAATAAAGTGTTTTGTCATTCAGTAACAGAGACAGAGGACTTCAGAAACACAAGGAATGAGGGTCTTGTGTGAGAATACTGAGTCAAAAAGTCAGAAGAATGAAGAAAGTTACAATGTAATATTTAACAGAAATTTTTAGAACTTAGCAGATGTGTGTAATAATCATAGCTTTACACACAGTCGATATTACAGAGCTCTTGGTGCTTGGATTAGAAATTTCCTGTCAGGACTGCGTGTGGGGAGGAACAGGATTCTGGGTTGTTCAGGCCAATGACCTGATTTAGGAAGAAGAACAATTATGGTTATGTCTTAGTCTAACTGTTGTGCTGCCCACTTGGGGCCATGCATGGTGGTGTCTGTTGACATGTAGTTTATGACATTATGGGTACTGGAATAGAGATTGTCATTGCAGACCTCAGCCACTGAGCCTAGTAAAGAGATTGGGTTTGCGAAGCAATTACTGTTGAGATCAATCCCATGAATTATATAAATTTTAGTAGATGCAATGCAATATATCTTTTTCTCTATTTTTCTTTTTTTTTTTTTTTCAAGACAGGGCTTCTCTGTATCTTTGGAGCTGTCCTGGAACTCATGTAGACCAGGCTGGCCTTGACCTCATAGAGATTCGCCTGCCTCTGCCTCCCGAGTGCTGGAATTAAAGGCATGTGCCACCACTGCCTGGCAAGATGCAATATTTCTATTTTCTTTTCTTTTTTTTTAAAGGTTTTCTTTTAGAGTGTGTGTGTGTGTGTACATTAATGTAGGCAAACATGGAAGCCAGGAAAGGTTGTCAGATCCTCTGAACCTGGAGTTACAGGCAAGTGTGAGCCACCAGATGTGGGTGCTGGGAACTGAACTGCAGTTGTCGGCAAGAGCAGCAAATACTCTCAACCTCTGAGCCATCTCTCCGGCCACCTGAACACAGTTCAGGTTAACAACCAGTACTAAAACCCAAATACATTACAGTAAATACTACCTTTAAATGAGTGGTTTTATTATAGTATTTTACTGTACATATGGGGAAAAGTGCAGGAAAAATACCACCTGTTAAATTTTTGATTTCCTCATTTTTTAAGGACTGAAGTCAGAGAAAACTAGGTTCCTAATTTGACTATACTAACCTATAAGTGTACCAAAGATGTAAATGTTCTCAGCATCCGTGAAAAAGTACACTGTGATGATGTAGCTTTTCACACATAACATGCACTTATGTAAATAATGTGTGTCTATATACATAATATTCTTGATTAATTATCTTTAGCTCCCCACATGTTCTTACTTAGTACAGAAAAATAAGAACAGTCTCTGTAGGTTTATTTGATTCATAGACCATCCTGGCGAACTACCTTCCAATTCCAATTTCCATTCACTAACTTTATGCACCAGTCAGTGGGGACCTGTGAGGTAGTTCTGTGAAGAGTTGCTTCCATTTGGATCCCTCTGTTCCCTTGTCTTCGGGTTGATTGAACCTTGATCGGACAGGGTAGACTTCTGTCCATGTTGCCTATCTGTGGCCGTTCTCACTCTGGAGACTGAAAAGGGTTTTATGCCACTAGAAAGGAAACAGTATCAACATTATGCTACTCAGTGAAAGAAGTACACAGATTGCTCGGTCACGTGTACAGTCATGCCACACTGAACAGCCCATTCTCTTCTGCTCTTGGAAGCTAAGCGGGACTAGGCTTGGTTAGTGCTTGGATGAAGGATCCTTTTGAAACACTAAAGCTCAGGAGCATTGAGATCAGGTGCTGAGAATGTTCCATTGGGCCTGACCACCACATGCTACCTGCTAGGAACAACCAGGTCCCCAGGGGCCAGGGTACTGTAGACACACCTGTAACCTTTCAACATTTTTCTTTGCAGTGAAAGAAGCCGGAAGAGACTTCAGCTACTTGATAGTGGTGTTCTTCGGTGTCAGCATTACAGGTCGCAAAGCCCAGCAAGTGCCTGGATACCTTTCCCCAGCCTCTTACCCCGTGGCTGTGCTTCACCTTTCTCTCTGCTTTTTCAGGTGCCTTGTTATATACAGTTTTCAAAGAACTGTTTTCTTCATCCAGTCCTAATATCATCTATGGGAAAGCCTTAGGAAAATGCAGAGCACATCCTGAGGTTAGTTCCCTGATGAGAAGGTGTTGGTGATGTAGAAGGGTCTTTATGTCTGTTGTTTCATTGATTAATTAATAAAGAAAACTGCTTGGCCTGATAGGTCAGAACATAGGTGAGTGGAGTAGTCAGAACAGAATGCTGGGAAGAAGGGAAGTGAGGTCAGACACGATGGATCCAGCCACCAGGTCAGACATACTGAATCTTTCCCGGTAAGACACCACCTCGTGGTGCTACACACATTATTAGAAATGGGTTAAGCAAGATATGAGAGTTAGCCAAGAAGAGGCTAGATATAATGGGCTAGGTAGTGTTTATATGAATACAGTTTGTGTGTTGTTATTTCGGAGCATAAGCTAGCCAGGTGGCCGGGAGCTGGGTGGCAGTAATGCCTGCCCTCAGCTCCTTCTACATGTTGGGGAGCAGGAATGCATCACGTCTGCAGAAGTGACATCATACGATGGGCTGCTTGGGTTGTCTGTATGTCGTTAGGTCATTGTGCACTGATTCACTTTGACCCTGGCACTCAGAGCTCACTGCATATGTTTTCCTCCCAGCTGTGCCAGTGATCATTGTCAGTTCTTCATGGGTGTTAAATGCCTCTGCCTCAGGGTGGATGCTTCAGAAGCTGGTGGTCTGTGGCATTTTTCCTTTTGTGTCCTCAACCACAGAGGGGAAGACTGAGAAGAAGTGTAGCCAAGAGAATGAAATGTGGCAGATGGATGTGTTCCATTTTGTAGAATTTGGAAAACTAAAATCTGTGCACTACACCATTGATACCTATCCAGGATTTTAATGGGCAACTGCTTCAAGTTTGGAAAAGGCTGATTCAGTAATCACACATTTGCTGGAAGTTATGGCCATCATGGGTATACCTGCACAAATAAAGACAGACCATGCTTCAGCATATGTCTCTAAGAAAATGAAACAGTTTCTTGCTTATTAAAATATAAAACATATTACAAGTATACCAAATAATCCTACAGGGCAGGCAGTTATAGAAAGATCAAACTCTAAAGGATGTGTTAAATAAACCGAAAGGGATAATAAAGGCCCCCAGAAATAGATTACCTAACACTTTATTAACTTTGAATTTTCTAAATGCTAATGAGAAAGGAACAACAGCTTCAGAGAGACGTTGGATAGCATAAAAACTGCAAAATTAAATCAGCCGAGATACATTAAAGATGTACTGACCTCAGAATGGAAGCCAGGACATGTGTTATATTGGGAAAGGGGTTTTGATTTTGTTTCCACAAGAGAAGAAAAGCTATGGTTAGCATCAAAATTGATAAAAATTTTATTTGAACAAGGGATAATAATAATAATTAATTACCATATTATTTGTAATATGATAATATTGATCATATAATATTATCAATAATAATCTCTTAATTAGAAGAGATGATAGTTCATCAAACAGTATGACTGTTTAATCTAAACTAACCTATAAAACCAAGAAATGCTTTTTATTTGATCACATATTAATCTCCCCAAAATTAGGGTTGGGGAAGGGTTTTGTTTCTGTCTTTTCAGAAGACTAAAGTTATCTAGCTAAGGAATCTAAAGGGCACAAGTGAGGTATATGAAGAAAAAGGACAAATCATCCAGAAGAAAATATCCCTAGAGAAATAGTAAATTGGCCTATTAGTATATCATATTTCTAACAGTATAAAATTTCATAAGTCTTCCCAAATGTTTGTTTCTGCTATTTTCTACAGACATGTAATGCAAATGGTCTTTTGTAATCCCATCTTAATTAAAGATGAAAGCTGACTCTGGAGTTGGAAGGGGACTCTCTTCTCTAAACTCGAGCATGCTTATTAAAGTGATCCAAAATCTCTGTTTCCTGTAAGAAGAGCCTCCTGATATGGAACAAAGAAAAACAAATACTTAAGGACTACTTTATTGCCACTAATCTCACAATCCTTTGGTTTTATATTGACTTTTCTTAAGGTATAAATTTTATAAGATTAATATATATTTATTATATGTATATTTTAACTTTTTGTCATGATATTAATGATCATATAGAGTACTAACTAATTCTAGGAAAAGGTTTCCTCTACCTTTCTGTACATGGTTTCGGGTTTGAGTTTCTATCAGTTTGCTTCAGTGAACCATGAGCACTAACAGTGGCCTTTGAAGTCTCCAAAAGAAGGATGGGGCCCCCAACGACGACACCTCCAGGACTATGATAACACCACTTACCTGAAAACACCACCTAATCAGCTTTGGACTGTGACATGCTCTGAACAGTTTCTAGGTGGCTAGCTGAGATGATCCAGTCTCACAGACTACTCTAGCCAGGACTTGAGACAAACCCTCCACTTTCCCATTATGCAGAGACTGGACAACAAATGATACAACTCCCTCTCCCATGACTTGACAGTTAACCCAGATTTTTCTTTTCAGGATCCCCAAAAGATACCATTGCCCCCCAGAAAGCAGGAAGTAAATTTAAGAACATGATGCCCACATTCCCAAGAGAAGGAGTGGGAGACTTTTGGTCTTTCATTGGGTTATAGATATTTGTCATTATTTAGGGCAATTGATTACAAGTTGTTACTGGTCATGGTCAGGAAAAGATCAAAACAAAGGAGATAAGATTCAAGATTCTTGATTTGAAGAGAAAAAAAGGGGGATACAGATATGATAGGATAAAATGGTAGATTATTGGATCCACTCTGAAAAGAAAAAAGCGAGAATATAGATATGATAAATTAAAAGGTAGATTATTGAATCTATACTTTTTAAAAGCAACTACTAGTTTTAAAATTTTTACCTTAGATTTTTGCATATGGTATACAAATTTGAGATTAATTTTGTTGAAACATACCATACATATGTTTCTAATCTTGTTCATGGTATTGTACCTAAACAGCTTATTTAACAATGTAATGCAAATTTCTAGTTCTTGGAAGTTATTATTACCATCTGTTTAGAGTAATAAGAAAGTGCAGGTTAGTAGTTAGTCTTCTATTACAGTCTAAATTATACTCACAGTAGGTGTGTTTTCAGGTCAAACACATATAAATATAATATAATGTATATAATATATAAATATGTCTAAATAGGTCATCTTCAAACACTTCAGAGATCTATAGAATATGGCGTTTAATATATTTTAATACCAGACTCTTTTTTATCTTTTTTGACAATGAGACATGTCTGCTGGCAGCACCAATCTACTTCAGAGAAGATGATGGGCATCAAAGAAACTCCACAAGGAGTTTATTTTCTTTGTGGCAAAAGTAAGCCACTGGGCAAGAAAATGCCCTTTCCTTGACTGCTGACAGTATGCTGTTGTAATTGGACAAGCAAGACAAAAAAAAAAAAAATTGATTGCCAAACATCATCAAGACAAGAAAGGGAGCCCTTCAGAATATCCTGCTTCACAGAAAAGTCTGTCATATGTACTAGTCCTATAGGGTGAAAATGGATGCCCCAACATTGCAGAGCAATCATGAGTGACTGTCCAGGCAACCAGCTGTTTTGTCATTACTCATATTTTTTTGGAAGTTGCTTGCTTACACTTCCTGCTTACTCAGATAATATTTCCTTCTTGGGTCTCTAAGGGAGTTGAAGACGAGATCTTTATAGTTTTCCTTGTTTACCAGATGCAGAAAGCAAGTTTTGTGATAGAAAGTAAATTAGGTACAAAACTTTGGACTCACCAAGATAGGATAGATATGGAGGGATTTCTCTGAACTTGTTAAATGCTAATGGACTAGACATTGTTGATTTACTTATTGCCTGTATATGTTGTATATGGTTATTGTATTTTTATATATAGTTTTTATATTAGTTATAGCCTTTTTTATTTTAGACAAAAAAGGGAAATGTGCTGATAATTTTATTTGTATTTTAATAAATAAAGCTTGCCTGAAGATCAGAATGCAAAGCTAAGCCACTAGAGGCCAGGGAGTGGTGGCACACACCTTTAATCTCAAACCTCTAGAGACAAGGCTGAGGGATCTCTGGGAGATGAAGGCTACCCTTGGGCTACACAAGATTGGCCCAGAAACAGATCCATGTGATAATGGTTTACACCTTTAATCCCAGTGTTTGGGAGTCACGTCACACACCTTTAATCCCAGCACTACAGAGGTGGAAACAGGAGCAATATGGCTGGGTGGAGAGGAGAATGTAAATGGGAAGAGGCAGGAACTCGCTGGAGTTCTAGTGGAGTCTGAGGATTCGTGGAGACAGGATCGTGCCCATTCAGTCTGACTATTTGGTAGAGTTTAAAGGCCTCTCTGTTAGTTGGCTGCTTTGCTTTTCTGGTCTTCTGCTTGAACCCCAATATCTGTCTCTGGTTTTTTATTGTTCATGCTACAGAGGTTTTAGGTGTCTGGTACTAATTACACCTTCCTTTTCGTGTATGCTTGCAGTATTAGGGACACTCAGCAATATCATCTGATGCTCTATTTGTGTCGTTTTTGCTTTGAAAACTCAATGCAAACTTTCTACACCAAGTAAATTTTCTCATTGGGAAGAAAAGATTTGCACGTTCATTCTAGCAGCGTCATTGATACTTTTTCCTCACTGTGATTAGGGCTTTAAAATTTCATTTTTACCTCACAGCCTTTAATACTTGACACCTAATAATTTCATTTCAAATGCCTGTCCGTTTTATATTCCAAAGTGAGTGTTAGTAGAGAAATATTTCAATACTTTGGTTTTGTTTCTTGTAAGGAGAGGGGACAGGTTCACTTCAGCCTGTATCATTCTCAAGCTACAACAGAGTGGCCCATTTCTGTCCCTGTGCATGAGATATTTCCTTATTTACAATATAATTTTACACAATGCCCTTCTACTTCTAGCTTTCTTGTTTGAGTCACCATTTTTGTAAAGGGGCTTCACCATGCTGATTTTTTTTTTTTTGTAAAATCACTTGGAATGTGCAAACAAATAATGCATCACTTGATTTTCAGAAACTAATTGTTATATAGGAGCCATGGAAAGAGTCACACTAAGAAGCATGTTCTCTGTTCTGCAGGTGATCAGCGTGTTTGGCAAGCCTCTGAAAGGCTACGGGGAAATGTCAAGACGTGGGCGGAGACAGCATGTCAGGTAATACAGTGTCCTTGGAAGAACTCTAGGATAAACTTGAAATAAAAGGAACTTGGATGGCATCTTTATATTTTCTTGACAGTTTTGTTGAATACGTAAAAAACGGGCTAAAGCGCATCCGTGTGAAATTCTACATTGAGGGCTCTGAACCAGGGAGGCAAGGGACCGTGCATGCAGAAGTGGAAGAGGTACGCCCGTCTCGGGTCGTGGGGTACGTGGGTACGTGGGTACATGGCTCTGACCATAGTGCTGCCGAAGCTCTGGGGAGGGTAATAACTTGTGCGTGTTTTTCAGAACCCACAGAGTGGCCAATTTGAATTTCGATACGTATATGTGAACGTGACTCCCATGAGATCTATTATCATTGAAGATAACCGTTCCCAAGAGAGTTAGAAGAATCAAGCCAAGCCACTGCCTTCTGCAGGGATAAAGGGATTCATCACACTGTGCTCTTCACAACTCTCAGAATCTGTTCAGAAAAATAAGAATAAAAAGTATGTCACGCAGGAAGTGAGAGTTCATGAGTTTGGACAAACCAGACTCAGATTTTTTCTTGTGAAAATCGTGAAATGTAGCAAATTTTACAGTATCATATCAAATTGCCAATCATGACAGTATTTCAGCTCTATGTTCATGAGAAAATTTTGTTACTGAAATTTATACACCACATCAATAAAATTGCCAGTATTTTATGTTTTTCAGTATTGTATGGTTTTTTCTACAGCCTTAAAAGTAAAGATGAAACTAACAGAAAGTTGTCAAAAGCATTTTCATATACTTTAAAATCTGATTGAGATAAGCATTGTTAGGAACTTTTCCTAATGCAAGCTCTCTGCTGATGCAAAAATCCCAATCAAGCCGAATTAAAGGAGGTCCAGGTATAATGGGATTTCTGCGCTCTTGGGTGGCCCTGAGGGAAACCGGGAAGCCCCAAATGTGACTGCTCTGAAGAGGGGGTCCAGGGAGCAATTAAATAGACTGGGGGAGGGGTCAAGGTTTGGTTTGGTGGGCACAGGGACAGCCTCCAAAGATGGAGGCCAGAGACAGGGATTTAGCAGCATGTGAAACTATATAAGAACAGTAGTAAAGCCAGATAACAAACACACTGTGAGAAGGTGGCATACACTCATGATCTTGGGCCTCAATCTGTGTCCCCTCGTGAGCTGAGGGCACTGAGCACAGAGGAGAGTGCATAGCCCACGAGCAGGGGAATGGATCACTCCACCTTTGCTGGTGGACACAGGAGCCAGCACGGGTCTTACCTGTCAGACCTCCCCCTGTGCTTAGGGAGACGGAACAAGGGTTCCAGCACTGCTGATGTGCTCTGGACAATCCAGCCCTGCCTTCCAGAACATAAGGCTGACATTTCCAAACCAAGAGTGGAACTCCTAAGGGAACTGAGTGAACATATTGAACAAACATTCAAGTGTTTGTTCAAACAAAACTCTAATTTTACAAGTTTGCATATCTTGCAAGAACATTTTACAAGAAAAGTCTCTAATTTGGCTTGTCCAAATATATCAAAACACACAAAACAATAAATAAATAAATGTCCTGTTCTATTTTCTAGGTGTGTTTTTTAAAGGGGTCTCCTCTTGGAAGTCTTGATTATATAAACAAGTGTTCTGTGCACTAGACAGGTATAGGAACCTTTTTATCCTCAGGAGGGTTTCCTGGCATGTTTCTTCTGTCTTTGGAATGGATGGTGAGGGATTTTAGATGTGTTCTTGAGATGATTAACTTATTTAGGAGAGGAAGTACCCATCTGTCCAACTTAGGTTATCTCTTTGCTTTAGTTACCTGATTTTTTTTTTAACTTAAACAATTTTCTGTCCTATCAAAGGGCCAAGGCAGTTTCTTTATTAACCAATGAAAGTAACACATAGAAAGATGACCGACCCTCCTACATCACCAGATACTGCAGTGTGGACATACTTCTTGGGGAGCCACACCTGCAGTAGTAGGTCGCCCCCAGTAAGACTTTAGAATAGGTATTTGAACCCAGGCTTGCCCAGTTTTCAAATCCTCTAGGGTTTCTTCTCCACATTTCACTCCCTCAGCTTATGCTCGAGGTGAAATCTACCTCAGGACATCTTTAGGGCAGAGGAGATCACACAGAGCTGCTCCAGCGAGAGCCAGCACCCGGGCATGCACAACATCCAAACTGTAGAGATGCTTATGCTTCTAGTATCCAGATACTGTATTGTTCAAAGGGTGGCTGAAGATGCGGCTGAGATATGAATATTCTAGGCATAAAAAAATAGAAGACCGCAAAAGTGTATGTAGTCTTGCCCTTCCCAAAATTAAGTCTGCCTGAGTAAGAGAAATTAATAATCCAAACAGTACAACTCAAATGTCTCTAGAAACAATACTAGGAGAAGAAATCGTGGAAGGAAACACCCATCTCTAGAGAGTCAGCCTCGGCAGCCATAGTGGAATGAGGAATAACCACCCTTTGAGGTCACTTAGTCTGCACTACAGCAAACGAGATTCCAGGGAAGAAAGACCAAATAGTTATTTGAACTACCCAGTAGACTTTGGTTCCATTTACTGACTAGAGCTCCTATATTCTGTTCCCATTTAATAGAAATGTCTTATTTACTTTTAAACAAAATGGTTTTATGATTTGGAAAGAAATGTATTTGACTGCACTGGGGTAGCTGTGCAGCTAAGCTACAATCAGAGTAGAGACAAAAAAAGCTAAAACTTGGTAGACAGAGGCAGCATTCATAAAAGCCAAACCTTGGAAAGAGGGGGCAGAGTACCTCAGCAAACCTTCTATCTTACAGGAAAGTTGAACTATACTTTTTATCTATGCTAAGTCTCTCTGAGTGCCAAGCCAGGTGGTCTAAATAGTGATTTCCAGGATATATGGGGCTACACAGAAAGATGATGTCTTAAAAAACCTGTAGGGCTGTATATATATATATATATATATATATATATATATATATATATATATATATATATATATATTCATATCACATAAACAGACCTTAAAATGCCTACTCTTTGTCAGAGCAATGATGAAATTGTTCTTTCCAGTACTTGTCAAATATGATGGCTTTATGTGTTATTATTGAGATTTTTTCATCTCTAACTTTTTCAGTCCTGGAACACCATAGTATTGGTTAGGACTTATGTGTAAGTTTCTTATTGGTGATGGCACAGGCATCTCTAGCTCTCTAGCCCTCTTCTTGTGGTAGAACATGAGGGAGCAAGGAGACCTCTAGACCTGATTGCACCCTACTCTTAAAGGTTCCTTGATTTGACTACCTGGAGGACATTTATTCAAGGAGACTTGAAACATCTTGCTTCCCTCCTATGAAAATGGGAATATGAAGACTTTTAGGTTCTGGGCTAGAGAATGAGAGTTTGTATGTGTGGAGTGCTGGGAACTATACAAAACATTTCCAAGTACAGATAACCTCACGCTGAAGCCCACATCCCAAGGAAACGTAGACCTCCATTTCTGGCTAGGTCTTCTTTGGGACCCAACAGGCTGCAGCTCCGTATGTTGCCCTCTAAGCCCCCTTCTCTCCTTCATCGCCATTTCTGACTCTCTAGAAACCCCTCTCCCTAGCCTTCTGCTCCCACGTCATGGCCTCTTCTCCTACTCTCCCTTAAAACATCGTGAGAAAGGCCCATGCATTCATGTCCCTTCTTCTTCAGGTGAATTGATTTTTTTTGGATACATTTCATCCATGAAAGAAATCAAAGAATCAGAAAGCTGTAATTTCATGAGGTCAGTTGAGGGTATCAGAGAATCCTGCTCACTTTTCTAGTGTTAACAGAGGACTTCACTTTATTCTCAAATTATTTCTTTACAGTTATTTTCCTTATTTGCAATGAATAGGTCAAAGTCACATTCAACATTTCTTAAAAGAAGACAGAACTTCTTAGTTGAGCCTTTGTGCTCACCCTCAGATGATCTGAGCTTTCCCACTGCCAGAGGCAATTTATAGAGAAATAAATTGCCTATGTGTTCCTTATCTATAAGCTGTGATAATAATATCAGCTATATCTTTAATCCTTTTGAGAACTACTAGCTTGTAAAATATTTTGAAGATAAAACACACAGGAGGAAACTGAGAATCAGGCAGGATTTTCATAAGGAGTGATTTTTATCACTGTTCTACAAAGGGAGTTGAAGGAAGGTGGATGCTGTCTAATAGGAAAACTATTTATTTCTCAATGTAAATAATCTTTCTGTATTGCATATCTCAAACATTCAATAAGAGAAAAACAAAAGTACGGGTCCCACTGCCCCACAATTACAAAAGGATATGTCCTACTGCCTCTATTTCCTGTCTGGTTGTCCCTCCTCTGCATCAGCTCCTGCTTCCCGGTTCCTGCCCTGTTTGAGTTCCTGTCCTGACTTCCTTCAATGATAAACATTGATAGAGAACTGTAAGCCAAATAAACCGTGTCCTTTCCAAGTTGCTTTGGTCATGGTGTTTCATCACAGCAACAGTAACCTTAACTAAGACACATGGTAAGGTTGGAAAACTTTTAACGGAGCCACTGTGAGTCTACATTCCACTCCTTCCAGCAACCGTCTTTGATTATAGTCTCTGGTGGGTGCTTTCCTTTCTCCTCGGACCAGCTTTGTGGAACAGAGGTGAGCTTCAACACAACCACCCTCTTCTCCTTACCTGTGCCGCCACTGTGAAGATTGTCACAGGAGACTCCAGCTAAGATGCAGCTTCCTGTGGACAACACTTCTGCCTTTTAAAAGTGGGGCATCTTGTACTGAGGAGGGTGGGTTGTTTGCGAAAGGCTCTAGGTTTTCTCTTTATCCTGGTTGTTTTGATTGCCTTAATAACTGCTCTTAATTTAAGTATATTTTTCAGTATCTAACACCCTAAGGCCAATTTAAACTGTTCAAGACTTGAATTTCCCAGCCATGTGGCTACAACTGTGGTACCTGCTGGCCGGTAATGGTTATTACACCCACTTCAACTCATTACAGGTGAGATTTATAAGGTCAAATATATAATTTATAAGGTCAAAAATGACAAATAATTTAACGATCCAAAAATTCAGCAGCTTTTTTATCTATACTATAAATGGTATTATTCAAGGCTTATGTAATTTTCCTCCTACATCTCTAGGAATTAGCTTTTGCCTTTCATATTTTCTCCTTAAAAAATGGCTTGATAATAGAGCCAAGAATGAGGCAGTTTTAAAAATGATACATTCTCAAAGTTGTTTTGATTTGCATTTCCCTGATTGCTAAGGAAGTTGAGCACGACCTTAAGTGTCTTTTGGCCATTTGAATTTCTTCTGTTGAGAATTCTCTGTTCAGTTCAGTGCCCCATTTTTTAATTGGGTTAATTAGCATTTTAAAGTCTAGTTTCTTGAGTTCTCTATATATTTTGGAGATCAGACCTTTGTCTGTTGCGGGGTTGGTGAAGATCTTCTCCCAGTCAGTAGGTTGCCTTTGTGTCTTAGTGACAGTGTCCTTTGCTTTACAGAAGCTTCTCAGTTTTAGGAGGTCCCATTTATTCAATGTTGCCCTTAATGTCTGTGCTTCTGGGGTTATACATAGGAAGTGATCTCCTTTGAGATATCATCTTACACCTGTCAGAATGGCTAAAGTCAAAAACACCAAGGATAGCCTTTGCTGGAGAGGCTGTGGAGGAAGGGGTACCCTCATCCATTGCTGGTGGGAATGCAATCTTGTGCAACCACTGTGGAA